GCCACCAGACATTGGAATTAACAAATCTGGTCCACTCGTCGGAGGAAGGGCGCTTCGACCGCGTAAACGAAAGGTAGGTGTTTCAAACCTGCTATTAGTGGTGTAATCCATTAGCTTGATGCGAAAGTCTTAAGCAAAACTGTATGTATCGTTGTTTCTCTAACAGGAACCTTGGCCATCCTCGAACCGACACCATAATCTAAAACGATCTCAGGGTTACCACCAGCAATTTTCAGTAGCTTGCTAGGCACTTCTCTTGTAAGCCATGTCGCGGTCCTCAGAAGATCATCATCGAGCAAGCTCTTCTACGAATGTCGCCGCGGCTTCAGTGGCTTCTGCTGACCCCAACAACAATAGCACATTCGGAGTGGATCTCGCTACCTTGCGACCTTTGTCGTTTAGTTTCTTCCTCTCATTCCGGAGATACAGAGCCCGACGACGGATCCTTGTCAGGGCGGACAATTTGCTGTAGATACTTCTTACTCCTGATGGAAGTGAAGAAGAGGCCGGAGACCCACAGCAGCGCACGAACATATTTGCAGAAAAGTTCTTACTCGATGGTCTCGCTCAAATGAACGACGATCTCTGTTACACGCGTGTCCCGGTCAGCCACTCCCTAACCTCATTTGGAAGGAGTTTAGCTGGTGACGGTAGGTGTGAGCTGGTCCCTCAATGATAGCAAGAGGACGTATTGTTGGAGAAGAAGGAGAATGAGAAGAAGAGATTGAGAAGAGGATCTACTCGTGCAGCCTGCGCCAGAATACGCTAGCCGAGAAAAGTTTTCTGTGCTGCTCTGGACACTCGAAGGGAATGCTGTACCTCGAGTTGCGCCTTCAAGGGCAGACAGTTACGGCTCTACAGCAATCAGCTAGAGGAACTCAATGTAGACTTGTCAGGTCAAATGGGCTTCCAAACGGCTAGCTAACTTCAATAAATCTAGAGTCCGCCTATTTTACACCCTTTAAGTATTTGAACTAGCTTTGCTGTAGGAATAACGAACGTGCTAATCCTTCAGCTGAGTTTCTCGCCCTCTTGTCCTCCATCTCCTAATGTGGATGCTGATTACAACGCTGGGAAGCAGCCTCGCGTGCGTGTCGAACTACGAGGGCTGAAGAACCTCGGCAACACGTGCTTCATGAATTCCGTCATCCAAGCATTGAAGTAAGTTTTGTCAATTCACTGATTTTTCAGATCAGCTTAATATATTCCATTCAGTACCACTGATGTTTTTCGTGGGTATTTGGTGCAGCTTCCCCTCCTTCAACCTGACGATGATGTTGGTGATGACCACCAACCATTGGCAAGTCCACGATATAATACAAGACGAGCTGCATCCGCGGGTAACACGTCAACATCCACTGCGTCAACCTCAACACCTACGTGAGGATTTGATCACTATAAAAGTCAAGAAATGAAGCTATCACGGAAGAGGGATGATTAAGCTCGCAAATTTCGATTTGAGACCGAGGGCAAGGAAGGTTTTTGAGTCAGATCTAATATGTTGGTATGTAAGTGGGAACTAGTGGAAACAATGTGAAAATGACGTTAAGTTGAAGCAAATCGCTAAAAGATGCAAGCGCGTGAAAGCCCTAGCATTAGTTTAAGTCCTGACGATATGATCAGCGCCTCTTTCTCTGCATGAAACGATGGGATGATTTAGTGACAGCTAGAGGTAGGGGGCAATTCTTCATTTCACTCGCATGCCTTTAAAACCTACAATGAGTAATTTCAGCTAAAGACCAGAAATGTTATAGAGTTTCCTCAAAATTAAAGCTGCTTTTGAGCTGATTAGTCCTCTTGTTTACTACAAATGAAAAATTGACACACCAAAATGTTATTAATTCTTAATATATTCTCTTTATTCGTCACGCAACCATGTACGGGTTAACTGGGATTGGAACCTTTATTGAGAAGTGGGAAGCCCATTTATTTATTATTGCGTATGATTCGGCTGGCTCTCCATTTTGCCGTTTTTGTTTTGAGTATTATTTCAGCTGTTCAGAAAAGGTTACTTGGAAGCTTTCTATGAAACCATGACTAAGCAAGGGCAATATGCAAGCTATTTTAGGGTGCTTGCTGAGGAACTTCGCAAAGTTATGATTCGTTTGAG